CTCTCTCTCGCGCGCGCGCGCTCTTAGTCTCATTGCTTTGGCTACCTTAAGGCTGCGTTCCCCACGCCCACGTGGTAGACAATTTGAATTTGAGGCCTGCAGCCCCACATATGAGAAAGGTAGTGGTGGTTTGAAGTAAGCTATATTCTTCTCTCATCTACCTCATCTTCCTGCCAGTACTTATCTATCTCATCCTCTCGCTAGTCTATGGGGCTCATTAGACACTCCTATTGAAATCCTTGAGCAAATGGAAAAATTCCTTTTGGTTCAAAGGGAAATTTGGGCCCTTCGTTCCACCTGTAAAGTCTCCGAGGAATTGTTCGTTCCACCTATCCTCGAGGATGCAGTCGGAAAAAAAAAGTGAAAACACTCTGAAGGAAATTCCTTGGACTCCGAGGATTCCCCAGCCATTTCTTCCTTTTGCCCAAGGGACCTCGCCAGGTCCCTTGGGCAAAAGGAATCCGCGTTTCATGGAGAGGAGCGGGCACATGGGTAGAGAGACATTACAACTGAGAATCTGGATCGTGGTGGCACCCTATTGGCTGAAGGCCTCAAACACATTTGATTTTTTTTTCTTTTCTTTTTTCTTTTCTGACATCGCTCGAAGGAAATGTCCTCGGGATCTGACAATCTGGCCACGGGTCTGAGATGCCCTCACTGAGGGCACACTCACACTACCACTTTCAAGAATGTATACAACTGCAATCACGGCCAGAGCTTTTTTTTTTTTTTTTCCCTTGCTCCTTTTTTTTTTTTTTTTTTCTCCTAATGGGAACAAGGCTCCAATCTATTCCTGGGAAGCAGCACGTGCTGGGAACCGGGCCCAGCGTCCCATGCTTCAGTTCTGTTGTTTTGTGAGTTTCACGGTGAGTTTCACGGTCACGACTTTTCTTCTTTTCTCCTTTTTTTTTGTTCTCGTGAGAGTACCATAAAGAAAATGGAGTGGGACCCAGGCTCGGCAAAACTTGGTGCGCGGTGAAATTCAGGCTCGGCAAAAACAGGCTAGGAGGCACTAGTGGATTAAAAATAATAATAATAATAAAAATCGAACACCCTTGCACAAGGATGACAGGCATAAATTGAGAGATGGTCCCCTGCTAATTCAATATGACAGTCGGGGCAGTTTTACCACCAGATTCATCACCAGTTCTTAGCACGGGGCTAGGTCCCACTTGCACGAATTAAGAGATACTGACCGTAGATTGCAAAGATCATAGATTGCAAAGATCAACGGCCGAAAACTCCTAATTGCGCAAGTGGGACGTTGCCCACGGAAAGCACACACACTGAGGCCTGCCCCTTATTCGACAACCCTGGCCAAATGGCGCAGACTTTTCTTTTATGGCCATTCTCATGCTAAAACTTTTTTTCGCCGAATCTGACGGTCTTCATCAGCCCGGAATAGTCCCTAGTGTCTGCCAGAATGCCCTTTTAGGTGCCAATGTAGGGCATCCATAGTCACACCTACAGTAGGACCCGTTCAACTGAAGCTGGCCCTAATAGGCGCCAGATACATTACAACATACCTGGCACCCAGATACATTCAAGATACTTTGTCCCAGTGTGAGTATACCCGAAGGATGAACCGGGTCCAACTGGCCGCCAGGTGCATGGTAATTTAACCACACAAGTTCGCGAGTGCGTCCTACCTTTTGCCAGGTTGTCCAGCCGTCACGCACCTGCAGGATGGCCTCACGCCTGAGAGCATACTCACACTAGTACATTTCCATTGATTCTGGCCGTGATTGCGCCCAGATACATCAAGTTGGGCTGTAATTGCGGTCAGATACATTGAAGATACTGCTACTGGGAGTATGCTCTGAGCCAATGAGACTCAGCTTAAGAAATTAAAGAGTACTTGTAATTTATGAAAAGAGTAATTGTCAGCCGTCGAGATGACAAATCCCCACGAATTGATTGGAGCATGCTCCATTTCAAAAAAAAAAAGAGATGACGAATCCGCAGGGCGGGCAATCGATCGGTTCACATTTTTTAGCTAACGATAAATTATTAATCATCAATCAATCATGCTGCTACCGATGTCCCCGTTCAGTCTCTCATTCAGCCCTCCTCAGCGAAATAGCCCTCGTCAGCGAAATACGGATCCGGTTGATCAGTCCAAACGGTCTCCGTTACGGTTCTCCAAACAGGTTCCGTTAGTACAAACATGCGGAACGGTACATCAAAGAATCTGATCGTTATTTTTTAATTTTTAATTTTTTTATTTTTCACTGAGCTACATCAACTGGACTGATCGTTATTTCCAAATGGACAGTTAGATTTTAAAAAAAAAAATAAAAAAATGGACAGTTAGCCCACACATCAGCAGGCTCTACTCTCTGTTTTCTGCTCGTCTCTCTCTCTCTCTCTCTCGCGCGCGCGCGCGCGCGCGCGCGCGCATCCCCCCACCCGGTCCTTCCCCCTCAGGTGCCAAAGCGCGCGGTAAACAGAGAGAGAAGGGAGAAGAGAGGAAGAGGGAGAGGGAGAGGAGGGAGACGAAGCTTGAGGAGAAGGGAGGAGAAGGAGAGGAGGGAGGAAAAGGAGGACGGAGGAAGAGAAGGAAGATCGAGGAGGAGGAGAGGAGGGAGGAAATGTAGGAGGGAGAAAAAGGAGCAGGAGGAGAAAAAGATCATCGAGGAGAGGGAGTAGGGAGGAGATGGAGGGCGAGATGAGGGAGGGAGGAGGGAGGAGGAGATGGAGGGCGAGTGGAAGTACACGAACCTTGGTAATACTCCATAGCCGTTCGAGATGTTGGGCAAATTCCTGCGATGCTCTGCTGTCGCTTCCTCCGGGTCTCTCGACCAGTCCCATGGCGATGATGATAACGGCCCCTAACGGTGCAGCTCCCGCCCGTCCCCACTGATGCCTGGAAATTGCCGATTTAGGAAACAAGCCCTCCAAATCCCCCAAACCACCACCCCCATACGTCGAAGAGGAGGAGTAATCAACGCCCTCTCCCGCGTGATTGGGACCACCTCCCTTGTTGTGCGAGAACCTGGTCCAACGAGTTGAACGACGGCCAACGGGATCGCGACCTGCTGAGCCCATGGCGCCGGTCAACGAGGCCACACCTCTTCCTCCCCCCCCTCCTCCCACTCCTGCTCCTCCCCCTCCCCCTCCCGCTCCTGCTCTTCCTCCTTCAACCCCTCCTTCCCCTAGTCCTCCCCCCCCTACTCCTCCCCTAATTACTCCGCTGCATCCATCTTGATAAACGGAACAGCACTGGTCCACCATACTCAGAGATTCCCCACCTGTCGTCCGATGGGTGGGGACCACCGCCATCTGCCATGGAGTGGAAATAGCGGAAGCAGAGCAGCACGCCGTGGAAGAGCAAGAGCAGGAGGAGGAGGAGGAGGAGGAGGTGGTGGAGGTGGCGGTGGTGGTGGAGGTGGTGGAGGTGGCGGTTGGGATCGCGATCGACAACGAAGGGACTGGAAAGTGCTCGTCGGTCGCAGTCGTCCTCGCGGCGGCGGCGGCGACGGGGCGCAGCCCCGCGGAAGAGGGTGATGACGTGTCAAAGTGCAAAGCGCCGGCGACCGGTCGCAGCCCATCGGAAGAGGGTGGTGTCGTGTCCCATTGCGCCACCACGTGTGATAACGGTCGCGATACCGTCGTCGGGGAGGTTTGGGACAGACTTCTGCCACCCCAAAATTGACACGTGGCAACGCCAGAACGCGAGACCACAGCGCCTCTGGAGTCTGTCAGAAGACTCGGCGACGCTCGACTGTTGGGACCATCTCTCCCTACCCTACCTCTTCCTCCTTTTCTTCCTTCCCCTCCTGTCACTTGATCTGCCCATCGTAGACTTGGTAGTTCATGTAGGAGGGGAACCCCACCACCGTCACTCACAGCATCGCCAAAGATGGAAAGCCCACTCAATTGTATCTCCATCTCTCTCTCTCTCTCTCTCTCTCTCTCTCTCTCTCTCTCTCTCTCTCTCTCTCTCTCTCTCCCCC